AACTTGACTACATCTGGTATTAACTAAAATCAAGCAGCTGGGTACATCTGTGAGGAATTTGTCTAAATTCAATCACCTGAAGTGGGAAGACCCACTTTATACAGGTGGCAGCCTGTATAAAGGACATGGAAGAAGAACACTTCTGCTCTTTCCCTGCTTGCCTTTGCTGGCAAGTTCATTCCTTCCCTGGCATTAACAGCCTACTTCTTCAGGATTCTGGTGTGTATGGAACATCCTGCTTTGAGGACTGAACAACCTCTGGATTCTCGGACTTTCTGTTGGTAGACAGCCAATGGCGGACGAGCTGGATCACAGGGTGTAAGCCACCTCTACACACGCACTCAGTCTCTCTCTTTCAGTTCTATTCCTTGAGAACCCTGACTAATATATGCACCAATTTCCATATACTCTCTATAGTGGTTGAACTAGTTTATATTCCATCCAAGGATATTTAAGAGCTGCTCCCATTCTTGACAGCATTGTCTTCTTCTTTTAGTGTGTGTGGGGGTGTTTGAGACAGGGTTTCTCTGCAGAACAGCTGTCCTGGAACTCCCTTTGTAGACCATGCTGGCTTCTGCCTGCCTCTGCCTCCCTGGGTATGTAACACTATTCTCTATTTTCTTAATGACAGCTATTCTGACTTGAGTGAGCATAGTTTTGATTTGTATTTTCCTGGTGGCTCAGTATGTTTTTTTTTTATACATCTACAGGCCATTTGTAATCTTTTGATAACTGTTTATTGTGTAGATTATTTTGGTTTTTTTAATTTCTGAGTTTTTTTCTATATTCTAGATATTAATCACATCAGATGAAAAGTTTACTGATTGTTATACCAGCCTTTGAATGAGTTGATTCTTGGGAGACTCCAGGTACAATAGGGAAAATCAGCCAAACTAGGTGGCTCTACTAGGGAAACCAATGTTTCCCCTTTTAGCTGTGTGTGTGTGTGTGTGTGTGTGTGTGTGTGTGTGTGTGTGTGTAGACAGGGTTTCTTCAAATAGCCCTGATTGTCCTGGAACCCTTTCTATAGACCAGGCTGGCCTCAAACTCAGAGATCCCCCTGCCTTCCAGGTGCTGGGATTAAAGACGTGAACCCACACAGCAGGCCTCATGTTCACACATTTTACCTTATGTCTAACACAAAATGTCTGTCTTGAAACTAATAAAGTTGAGATTACAATATAAACAAGCATGGCACCATTCATATAAACCCTGATATCGGTAGCCTAGACAGGAAGAAAAGATCAGAGTTCCTTGGGCCTGAGAAAGAGAAGGGGAGGCTAACTGGGCAAGCTCCACAAACCTTCTGGGGTGACAAAAGTTCTCATCACTTTCCAGAAGTAGGGACTGTACCCGTGTGGAGAGCTTTAAAAACTCACCAAGATATACACACATACACTGATTACACTTTGATGTGAAAAATAGAGAGTATTAACAGTCTCTGTATTTCAGTACGTCCACTAGCCCCAAGTCCCCTTCCTATAAGGCTTTCTTCTTGGCTAAACGTCCATAAATCTGCATCTTATCAGATTAAAATGTAAAATGGAGCTTGAAGGATGATTAACAAGTAGCACCTAGACTTCATTAGTTTATCCTGCTGATACAAACGCCTCGCCATGGAAACCGCTGTACTTGGAAGGGTTTGAAGAGCAGAGGCAGCTCCAAAGGCAGCAGCCATTCTGCATTAGCAAGGGAGCCGTGGCGCTTGCTTCCTGGCTCCAGTGGAGCTGCATGTGCCTGCTTCTGTCAACTGCAGCTAGAACCGCACGCCACCTGACACACTGCCTTCCTCAAGTGCTCCTCTGCCCAAGAGGAGGACGAAATTGAGGCTGCTGTATTCAGTCTGTCTAGCTCTTCCACCACATTCTCAATGTTTCTGAAAGTGAGGATAGAAATGAATATGAATGAGAGTGGGTTTATTCTGGTCTCTCATTCTTTCCACAGCACTCCCTGCCCATTTAAAAGGCACAGAAGCAGTTGGCCAGAGCTTAGATTCTAACTTCAAAGAGGCTTTTAAGTCTAAAAGGGAACAAAAATGTCTTCTAGACTCCTAGGAGGAGAACAAAGTAAACACGAGTTTGGAAGATAGGCTTCTCTAGCTGGGGATAAATCAAGGAAACCACCAGGAGGAGGTGTCATGTGAATGACCTGAAGTGTGAGGTCCTGTCTAGGGTGAAGTCCTTCAAAGGGGAAAGTCTCAGGCTGTGACTAGCGAAAGCCAATATGCATTACTTTTTCTTAAAATGCAGAGGCAGATAACAAGTGGAGGCTCTGACCGCCCTGGCGACAGTCACCAGAGGATAACTGCCTTTTGTCAGCAAAAACATTTGGCATTTTCAAGTGGCCAGATACATCCATTTTTAAAACACTAAGGTCAGAACACCCGGTCCAAAGGCAACTCTATTTTTAAAAAAGATTGAACCCGTGCTGACGCTGACCCAGTTACTATTGCAAATGTGAGAACTAAGGCATGCCAGTTAGTTGTCAACTTGACACAAGCCAGGGTTTGGAGATGAGAAAACACCGACTGAGAAAATGCCTCCACTAGACTGGCCTGTGGGCAAACATGTGGGCATCTTCTTGATGAATGTGGGAGGGCCCAAGCCCTTGTGGATGCATCTCCTCTGGGCAGGAGGTCCTGAGTTTGAGCCTTGAGGAGAAAGGCAGCAAAGAGCACCCGCTGGAGCTTGAGTTGTCTGGACTTCCCTTCGTGGACTCTAAGCTGGGAAAGGAAATAAACCTCCCCAAGTTGCTTTTGGTGTGGTGCTTGTCACAGCAATAGAACAGGGAACTAGAACATAAGGGAATTAAGAAAACCATTTGTTTTCACAAAGAAAAACTTCCTAAAATGTGAAGCTGTTTCAGCTCAGGAGCACTGGATTAGTTTTCTCAAATCCATCAGATAAGATTTCAGCAAACATTGTCAGGTGGGGGCGGTGGCACACGCCTTTGATCCCAGCAGATAGGCGGATCTCTGTGAGTTCAAGGTCAGCCTGGTCTACAGAGGGAGTTCCAGGAGAGGCTCTAAAGCTACAGAGGAACCCTGTCTCAAAAAACAAAATCAAATAAAAACAAATTCAGCAAATGTGACTAAAGAAACCACACCCAGAAAGCGGGCTCCATCTAAATGCTGAGGACAACTGATGTTTGGCCAGAGAAAAATCTCCCCCCACACACACCAATTCAGTTATTATTATGGAGTAGAATCCTTAACTTTTTTTTTTCACCGATAGGGAGAAAATCCACTCTACATCACTTTTAAGCTCCATCAAAGCAGTTTCCAAAAATTCCTTTGTGAGATCTGCAAGGTTTTACACACTGGACTTTCCCGCCTAAACTCTTAGTCCTACTGGCCCTTTCTGCGTCCAACAGCACTATCTGCTGCCTACACATGCTCTCCTCGCCGAGGACATTATCCTCCAACGCCCAATCAAGTGTGCCGATGAAAATTGGCTGGCTTCCTCATGCAAATAGCACTTCCCGCTACTGCACTAGACCTCTACATAACACTAAGCCCCAGGTATTGATTTCTCACGGGCCAATCTCCACAGGGCAGGCGTGGTTCCTACCTCTCCCGCTCGCAGCACTTAGGTGATGCCCGCCAAAGACTACTCAGCACATGGAAGACTTTCTCTCGCTCAAAGGAAAAAAAAAAAAATCTCGGCATGTAAGTTTTTTTAAACATCTTTTGAAAAAACGTTCACACGGGATTTGGGAAGTGTATTAGAAAACAGACACGAGTGGGCTGAGCCGAGTGGTGCCTAACACTGGCAGCACAAAAGGTTCAAGGCAAGCAGAATCAGAGAGCATGCAAGGCGCAGAGCTCACGGGAGACTCGGATAAAAGAAACGGAGAGATGCGTGCCCCCAGTCATTAAGAATGCACGAGGTTATCAGTCTTGCAAGACCGAGGTTCCAAACACCCAGCGAAAAGAGGAAGAGCGCTTGGGTAGGCTCCAGCACGGAGGTGTGCCGGCATCGCCGGCCGAGCGGGGCGGGAGGAGAGGAAATGACGAGCAGAAAGGGGTGGTAACGGCGCCGGGCCGGAGCCCCGGGATGGCGGGCCGGGAGGAGGGGCGCGGCGGGCGCGCTAACGGCCCCGGGGTGGGTCTTGCAGGCTGCGCTGCGCGTCCCCGCCTGGCCTCGCTTCGGATCTGCCGGCCCGACTGCCTAGGGGCTCCGGGGACACGGGCCTCACCGGGGCCCGGAACGGGGGACACAAGGACAGGTCAGAGGATGAGGCCGGCACGACGCGGGGAGAGCGCCACGGTCCGCGGCCGGCCGCTTGGCCAGCTGCCCTCCCGGTACCCGAGCAGCAGGGAGCAGCGGCGCAGCGGCCGCGGGCACCGGGAGCGGATCCGGACTCCGAGGAGCCTGGCCCCGGGGCGCCATCCCTACGCTGGACGGCCCCCGTAGGCCTCCACGGGCTCCGAGCCGGGGCTGCCGGCTCCCCGGCTCCGGCAGCCTCGGCTCGACTCCCGGGCTCGACGGACGCCTGGGCCTCTCCTGAGTGGTCAGCGAGACCCGCCAATCGGGGCGCTGGGGCCGGCTCTGGGCCGCTGGATATTGGCTCCTCATACTCACCGTGCCTCGCTCCCCCGGTTCGCTGCCCGCGCTGATTGGCTCCAGTACCGGACCCCGAAACCCAATCAGAGGCTCCAGCCGCCGCCGCCGCCGCCACTGCCGCTGCCTCGCAAAATGGCGAATCTGAACAAAGGGGAATCGGGCCTCCCTCCAACCGCCTTCGCGCAAGCGCCTTCGAGACCACGCCCCATAACCCCGGCCAAGCTGGCCCCGCCCCCCGGCAGGGGCACTGCGCAGGCGTCCCCGGGGCCACACCCCCTGCCTAGGATTGACGCCGCCTTCCGCCGTGTCTTACGCAGGGAAGGCGCCTTAGTGGTCTTCGCAAACACCGCCCCGAGCCGTACACTACGCAGGCGCCGACACGCCCTTTTTTATTTTTTATTTATTTATTTTTTTTGCCCACTGTCCACCCATTTCTCAGCGACCACGGGGACGCACTCCCCTCCCCCCCACTCAGCCCCAATGCGCAAGCGCTCCTCTTCTCAAGTCGGGGTCGGCACCTTGGTACGCATGCCTGAGCGGCGGCGGGAGACTGCACAGTTTGCCGCCGGAAATTCTGAAGCCTTTGCCATAGAGAGCGGGCTCGGCCGGGTAGCTAGAGAGGCTCACTTCCGCCCCGTTAAGGGGTGGGGGCCGCCATCTTGCGTGCGTGCAATTAAAGGCCGTGGCGGCATTGGTTCCGCGTCGGGCCTCTTGGGTTGCTCCCCACCTACCAGGCTTCCATCTCAAACTCTCCCCTGCGTGCAGGCGGGGCTGTCGACGGCCGATTCCTTTGCAGGTGAAGGATGACTCCCGCACAAACTCTCCTGCGGGACCCCAGGACCGACCCTCCTTAGGGTGGGAGGAGAGACTGGGAAGCTCTTTTAGACTTTCCTTCCTGCACTCTAGGAGCGATGGTGATCCTCCCCGGACCGCACACCTCAGTTCGATTCACTCTGATTGCAGCTCAATGGCACTGTGCAGAGCCCCTCCTATTTTCTTCTAAGCCCTATCCTCTGGGAAAATAGCAGCCCATTCTAAAATCTACCCTGCCAGGAGGCGGTTTGCAGTTAGGAGGTGTGTCTCGGGACTGCCTTGGCCCCCGCTCCTGGAAAGCTGGTTTGTGCTGCCTCTTAGAGGCTGAGTGAACTCACGTTAAGAGAAAAGTAGAGGAGGTGGGGAAAACTAAGTGGGGTTGTCACGGTGATCCGAACATGCTGTGTTCGGGCCGCGTGAGTGTTTTTACCTGCTTCTCCTTTTCATTAGCAGAAGAAAACTCTTAAATTCTGGAAATAGCGACTCAGTATCATGGCCGGCCGCCTTAATGAAGATCCAGAAGGAAGTCGAGTGCGTGACAACTATTAAATTTATCGGTGAAGTGAAATTCAGAATAATTGAGGTCAAAAACATAAACACTTTCTAATTAAACCAATAATTGGATTTTCGCGGCACCTCCCTCCTCCCGGTTTGTTTCTCTAGCTGATTTACTTAGGAAAGGCTAATACAATCCTAGGCAGAGATCATCCATCACTTTCCTTTTCCAGATACTTTAATATATGGTGGTTAATTCTGTAAGATGGGAAGGTTTGGCTTTAATTCAGATTGGCAGTGGAGAAGCAGGGGAGGGGGGGGGGGACGGGACAGACCGGGAGACCTCTGTTGAAGCTCTGAAAGAAGTAATCCTTTTCTGTTTTTTTAACACGCTTTTTCTTTCCGTTTGCACATTTTAGATCACTTATGTGAAAGGAGATCTTTTCGCATGTTCCAAAACAGACTCTTTAGCCCATTGTATCAGTGAGGATTGTCGAATGGGTGCTGGAATAGCTGTTCTCTTCAAGAAGAAGTTTGGAGGGGTACAGGAACTGTTAAATCAACGTGAGTTTTGAGAGTAGCCTGTTTCATCCTGGCTGAAGCATGGTTTGGTCTCCGAGTACACTCTATTTACATGTGTATTCAAAGAGATTTCTAACTAGTGCTTTTAACTTTTCAGGTTTTTGTTTTGTTTTGTTTTGTTTTGTTTTAATTTCCTCACAAGAATAGCCTCTGGTTTGGATCTTTACCATACCAAATCAGAGTTCTTATAAAAGTTTTCAATCTCTTCCTCTTTTGTGTGTGTGTATAAGTTCATGGTGTGCAGATACATATGTGGAGGCCAGAGGCTGACACTATCTGGCTTTGAGCTTGCCCATTTAGCTCCATTAGCTGGCCATCAGGGCCCTGGCACCCTCCTATCTCCATTTTCCAGTTTGGGGTGCACAGTGTGTACCCTAACGCACAGATTTTATGTGCAAAAAACTAGGGGTCAGACTCAGATTCCCATGTTTGTGCAGTAAACACTTCATTGATCAGTTCTCAACTCTCAAAAATTTTCTTCCAAAATTATTTCACTTCTCTCAAACCTTTGGTTAACTGAAGGGCTTATCAAGGTCCTTATGCCCATTATGCTTGGAGGTCAAGATCCTGTACTAAATACTCTTCTGTTTGTTCTTTCTTTGAAGCAGTCTCTGTGTAGCCCAGGCTGGCCTGGCACTTCCTAAGCTGGTTTTGGACTCTGAGCAGTCCTCCTGGCCCAGTCTCCTGAATGCTGACATTACAGGCATGAGCCACTGCACCAGGCTTTTTCAACTTATTCTTCAGAGAGTAGTTTGTACTGGAAGTGGTACCAGACACCGTTAATCCCATTGGTCAGAATACAGAGAGGGGTGGATCGCTGAGTTCAAGGCCAGCTCCGTCTAGGTACTTAGACCAAGGGAGAGTAGTTTGGAAACCGCTTCTCTACAAACCTCTCCACCACTCTGTCGATGACTTTACATCAGAACTGTACAGTACCTCTGGAGCTTCTGAAAGAACTTCTCAGACCACATTTCAGGCCCATCCCTCTTCAGAACAGCTACTTCTCCAGACTTCTAAGATAATAACTAAGATCTTAAGAATTGTTTCTCATAGCTGGGCAGGTGGGTCTCTGTGAGTTCGAGGCCAGCCTGGTCTACAGAGCAAGTTCCAGGACAGCCTGGGCTGTTACACAGAGAAGCCCCAGGCATGGGGGGGGGGGTGTTCCTCATAATGTTTAATACACACTGAAAGGTCGTCGTTGGGATGGGGACGTGGTTTAGTCTTGTCAAGTGCTTGCTGAGCGAGCATGAGAATGTGAGCTCCGTCCCAGAACCCCTGTGTTGTGTTTCGTTTTCTTTTTTAAAGCTATGTACAGACATACTTGCTCCTCCCTGGGGAGGTGGAGGTAGGTGGATCTCTGATGCTCACTGGCCAGTCAGTAGCTGATTCAAGGAACTCCAGTTTTAGTGAGAGACCATGTCTCAAAAAAAGGAGGAAAAAAAGAAAAAGGAATTAAAATATAAGATGATGTGAGGTGGGGGGATGCTGGAGACATGGCTCAGTGATTAAAGACATGAATTTGATTCTTTACCTCCACATTGAGTATCTCACAATTGCCTGTAACTCTGCTTCCAGAGAATCTGATGTCTCTGGCCTCCACAGGCACGCGCGCGCGCGCGCGCGCGCGCGCACACGCACACACACACACACACACCTTGTTAAACATGTTTGACAGATTTTTAATAGCGGCACATTCTAAGACAATTTCCAGACAGTTAACATTAGTGTTTTTAAGTGGGCAGGTGACAGTGCATTTGAAATTGGGATAGGTACACAGGTTTATAAAGATTTTTCTTACTGAAAGTGTGGAGATGGGTGTTTTGGTTTTCTTTTTCCTTTTTACTATTAAGTAACTGTTTTCTTAGAAAAGAAGTCTGGAGAAGTGGCTGTTCTGAAGAGAGATGGACGATATATATATTACTTGGTAAGATGGGGCCAAATCTTCATACCGAATGGATTGGCAAATTCCCTGTGTTGATCACGATGCTCCATCCTAGACAGCAAAGGACGCCAAACAGCTTCCAATTTGACACCAGCTCAGCTCCAGGGGAGCTGGCTGCTTGGAGCACTGAGTTAGGCATATCAGACTGCACCACAGCTCCATGGTGAGACGCTGTGCTGTCCACTGTAGGCCTGTGGTCCAAGAGTGGTGGACCTTAGGAGACCCACTAGCCTTTCTTAGTCACAGTGAAAGGAAACCTTGTCTCAGGAGATCTCCCTGAGGTACTCTAGTAATCTTCCCTGTCAAATGCAGAGCCACAGAATGCTCTGATCCTTTCCTGCCTGCTGTGAGAATGTGGGGTTCTTTACCTTCCACATCATCTTTGGACCCAGAGGTGTGGCTTCTTTACAGCCAGTTGGGTGATTTAGGGCCAAGCCACTACAAACCTTTTCTAGCCAGCAAACAGAGTACGGAGATACGCTAAGCTGTGGGTACTGTCCTAAAAGGCAAGACTGATGTTCTGTTAGCAGAATTACCTCTTGTTGCTTCATTTTAGGGAAACAGAAGCAGGGGAGCATGATTTCTAAATGAACAGACTTTGAAGGGGGCTGCTCGGGCAGTGTGGGCACCTTGGCACAAGTGTGCCACTTATCTGGCACAGAATTCACCACCTGCTTAAGCATGGCAATAGGCACAGCTTTCCTGTGCCGTGTGGTTTTCCTTGTTACACATCGGAGTCTGTTTCTCATTTATTAGTGGCTTTTCCTGTGGCTACGGGACATTGGGACATTGTTGTCCCTGCTGAAAGTGCTAATTCTTTCCATTTCAGGGTGTGGAGGAATCTGGTGGCTTTCTCATTGGCTCCCTTTCTGGGAGGTGGAGCTAATGAGAGTTTGAATCCTTTCTTTTGTGTTCAGATTACAAAGAAGCGGGCTTCGCACAAGCCGACCTATGAGAACCTGCGGAAGAGTTTAGAGGCCATGAAGTCCCATTGTCTGAAGAATGGAGTCACTGATCTCTCCATGCCCAGGCAAGGAAACCCAGGCCCTAACGAAGATTGAATTGATTGATTGGTTGAATCTCTAACTTCCAGGCCAAGCCGAGAGTGTAGATGTAAAGGTAGACATACCCCTGCTCCTCAGAGCTCCCTTCCAACTGGCTCTGAGGCTGTAGGATAGCTGTTTTCTAGCTTAAGTTGAATGAATCAGGGTATGTAATGGGAGGCACACACCTGCCTCAGCTCCTCTGGGGAGTGCCCTTGGTGTTCAGACACATCTGTTGAGTTCTTGAGTGGTGTTGGAAGCAGTGGAGTCCCAGAACTGAGACAGCAGCCACAGCTTCTTGCAGGCTGCTGCCAATCTCCTCCAGTTGAGTCTGTGCCAGGGAAGCTGTCAGTGATCTCTGCCGTTTCTGCTGCTCACCTGCTTGTCCTTCCATGGGGAGCAGTCAGGACTTGTCCCTGCTGTCCCTTTGAGAACTTAAATGACATTGGGTGTTCTGTGACCCTTTGCTTCCTCAGGAACTGGTCTCTCAGCCAAAACGCTTTAGTTCCTGTCTCCTCACGCCTTATATACCTTTCTCTGCCCAGCCATCACTTCCCTCCTAGTGCTGGGATCAATGGTGTGTATGCTTCCCAAATACCGGGATTAAAGGTGTGAGATCTCAAGTGCTGGGAATAAAGGTGTGAAACTCCCAAATACCGGGATTAAAGGTGTGAGATTTCAATTGCTGGGAATAAAGGTGTGTGACTCCCAAGTACTGGGATTAAAGGTGTGTGCCACCACTGCCTGGCTCTGTTTTCTCTCCTAGGCTGAGTCAATCTCATGTGGTCCAGGGTGGCTTTGAACTCACAGATCCAGACGGATCTCTGCCTCCCAAGTGCTAGGATAGGTGTGTGCCACCACTGCCTGGCCTCTATGTTTAATCTAGTGGCTTGTTCTGTTCTCTGTTCTTCAGGCAAATTTACTAGGGTACACTATATATCACCACCTTTTCCCTTCTCTTTTATTATCCTAGTAGTTTTCAGTCAGTGCTTACCCAAGTGTAAGTGACTTTGGGTGTGACCACAACATCAATTCTTTTTCTTTTTCTTTTTTTTTCTTAAATGTACATTGGTGTTTTGCCTGCATGTACGTCTGTGTGAGGGAGTCGGATCCCCTGGAACTGGAGTTACAGACAGTTGTGAGCTGCCATGTGGGTGCTCTTAACTGCTGAGCCGTCTCTCCAGCCCATCATCCCTTTAGTATACTCATGGCTTATGTATCAGAAACTTTTTTTAAAAATCGCTATTCTTGAGGAAGTTCATTGTCTTGCTATCATGTGAAATTGGGATTTTAAGTGTCCCCTTTATCCCTAGGGCTGTTGAGGATCAGTGTCATATTAAAAGAAAAGTGTCAGATGGTAGAGCTTTACAGGTTGACCAGCAGGCTGTGACGATCTCATGTCGGCCACAGCCCACATTTCTGGACATTGCCTTTTTTGCTTCCTTTTGCAAAGGTCCTCCTCTCCCTTGCATCCTCCCTAGCATTCCATTATTGTAAGTGTGTTTTAAACATATGTGTGTGTTTTCCCGTCCACTGAAGTGAGTTTTCATTGAAAGAGGGTAACTGGGCTAGTGGCCTCATGTCAAAGAATGAAATCATTAGAAAGTAATAAGAATTGCTGGCGGCGGCGGCGGTGGTGGCGCACACCTTTAATCCCAGCACTCGGGAGGCAGAGCCAGGCGGATCTCTGTGAGTTTGAGGCCAGCCTGGGCTACCAAGTGAGCTCCAGGAAAGGCGCAGAGCTACACAGAGAAACCCTATCTCGAAAAACCAAAAAAAAAAAAAAAAAAAAAATAAGAATAGGGTGGCCACCTAAGAACTGTCTTGAGTGGCTTCCCACTGAGACTGGACTGTCGATTCTTCATTGTGGCGCCTGTAGGTGTGCGCCCCAGGACTGGGCCTTGCATAGAGCCTAAAGGAAGGGGGGAGGAGGAACAGCCTCCCAAGTACTTTTAGGTTTTGTTTATCCACACTTGATCATAACCGAAGACCGGGAAACGTTGAGATTTCTTCTTCTGTTTCAGGATTGGATGTGGTCTGGATCGTCTGCAGTGGGAAAATGTGTCTGCAATTATTGAAGAGGTGTTTGAGGCAACGGACATCAAAATCACGGTGTACACACTCTGAACAGATGAAGATTTGGATGACTCGTGGTCTTTGTGTTGTTGCTACTTGGCTGTAGGACTAAGCACCTGTGGGACCTCAGAATGGGCAGGGGACAGTGTGTGAGGGATCTGTGTCACAGGCCAGCTGTGGCTTTCTGTACTCCAAGACTGGAGGGTGCTGGGCCCACGCAGTGTGGCAGGGAACCAGCTTAGTAAGCCCACCGGGTCGGCCTGTTTGGCTCGTCCACGACCGGATTTGTTTGGCTGGCCACTAGGTGGCAGCGTTGATTCTAAAGCTCTTGCTTTTGGAGAGGTAAACTGTTGCGATTCTTTGCGTCTTTTGTGACTGTGCACCTGGTGCCAGTCTGATGTCATCAGAATCATCACTGGAAAGGATTCTGGTTGTTTTGTGGTAGTTACACGTGTAGGTTTCTGCTGTCACCAAGGGGTTTGTGGGGACATGAGTGGAACAATAAACCTTTCTGTTGGGGTCACTGAGGTTTGGGCACATGTTTGTCTGTGTTCTTTGTTCTGGATCTTGGGTACAGGCTAAACCTGTGACTTAATTTTGAAGAGCCAGGGTTCACTGGGAAGAGCATCAAGGTAAGAGGTAAGTGCAGACAGGATTGTGTTCACCTGGTTAAAAGGCGGGGGCGTGGATTTAGTCAGGAGGCTGGTGAGGAGGGTTCCAGGTTCGTGTCTCTCCCTCCCTGGAAGATGGGAAGGTTACAGCTAACCGGATCTCAAGAGCACTGCGGTCATTGGTTCCTCTTCAGAAACTCAAGACAGACCTGTCTGGAGGGAGGAGACCACCTGCGAGTTATTAGTTACTGGGGAAACTAGGAACCCTCCGGCCTACCACTGAAAGGCTCCCAGTGTGAGTGCTGGTTGCTCAGGAATGTGTTTCCAGCGTAAAAAACAAAGTTTTACAGAAGGCTTGTGGGAGCAACAGGAAGGCACTGGCAACCCACCTTGGTACTTTCTTCCAAGAGGCAGCAGCTTGGAAAGTGTTTCACTGGGGACAGACAAGTTCTACATGTTGCTGGGGGAGGGGGGGGGTTCATTACAAACTTAGACCAAAGCTTTTATTGGAACCTTCTCGTGTCTTTAACACTGTAGGGAGAAATGTCTTAATTTCATGGAGTAGATGAGATCAGGGTGATGGGCAAAAGATGATCTTATTTCACTGTGGTAAATCTTTCCTTTCTCCACAGACTCAGTCTGTAGCCTTAATCTTAGGCTGCCCCTCTATCCAACTACACCTCCAGCCCCTACGGAAACATCTCAGTGCTTAGTCAAATCGGTAGCTCTCAAGGACTCCTTTGCTTTTAGGGGGATTATAGTTAATAGTTAATTTTTGTCAGGGAGCCTGATTATCAGTGACATCCTGGGCCTTGATGGGGATATTACCAAGTGACTTGGGGTCAAATTCCAGTGAGTCATCACCCATGAAACCTGAGGGAAGGAAACAGCCTGACAACAGATGAGCACAACCCTCTTGGAAACCCAGATGGATCTGACTGACACTCAGGCGTGTGAGTGTGACTTCACCTCTGCAAAGCACTCCACAGACCTTTTGGGAAATGACACTTGCCACCACCCGGTCATGGTCTCCAAGTGCTCCTTTTGGGAATCTCACAGTGTGTATGAACATTGACTTGGTTCTTTGGACCCTCTCTAGTGAGAAGGAAATTGCTTATTGCCTGGCCGTTGAGGTGTGGCTATCTCATAAAATTCCACGAGCCTTGTGACCCCCACCATATTATCTTCAGAGGAAAGGAAAAGCTACCGTTGACAAAGAATCCCAGGGGAAAGTGTTTTCTTTATTTTTCAGTAGTGCAGGGATGGAATGAGGGCCTTGCATATGCTAGGGAAATACTCTGCTGGCAAACTAGAGCTCCTCCTTCCGGAGGAAGTCCATGCATGTGTCGTAGCGTGCAGATGGAGGTGAGAGGACCAACCATGGCGGTCTTCACCTTCCACCCGGTTTGAGTCCGAGTCTCCTGGTTGCCACTGGGTAGGCCAGGCTGGCTAGCACACCTCCAGGGATTCTCCACCTCTTATCATGTGCTACTGCACACTGCCTTACATGGGTTCTGGGGATTTGAACCCTTGCTGCCATTTCCCCAGCCCTCAGGAGAAAATATTGAAGGTTGGGGTCATGGTGAGAAGTCAGCCTTGGAGAGTTGGTTTCCTTATTGTCAGGACCTGACTTGACTACCCTAAGGTCACAGCTTGGTTCTTAACCTACAATATCCCTGTGCCCAGCATCCACGCACTGTCCATGGGAACTTTGCACTGCCCAACTTTCTTAAAAGAACAGGCCACAAAAACCACACTATTTCCTTTATTAATGATGCTATTTTGCCTTTAAAAAAAAAAAAACACCAACAACCCAGCCCAACTCAAAAAACTTTTCTTGATGTATTTCAAAGGTCTGTGCCTTGAATGTGAGGATCTTTGTCTCAGGCAGCACCCTGGGGAGGCAGGAAGAGCCTCCACCCCCAGGTGCCCACAAACAGCTGCTTTTCTTCCCTTCAATTCCCTTTCCCCCAATAACCACATCACAAAAGACGTGACCAAATGGCGGCCTGGGTGCGCTGAGTTCTGGGAGGGAGGGCCTTGTCCAGAACAACTGGTTGGTGTCAGATGTCCAACTCCAGGTGTAAGTGGGAAGACAGGCCTGTCCTGGGTGCCATCCATGTCACTGCTTCTCCGGTGGCAGCGGGCAGACCTTCATGGAAAACAAAGCGTGTTAGCGAGAGCCTTGCCCACCCGACAGCCAGCCCTCTAAGATAACCGAGGCTTCTTTGTACCTTTCCGAAAGAGACCCTGGCTGTTTCCTCCAGGGCCTCCTGTGTGTTGGGAAACTCCAGCTCCAGGGGTGGGGGTGGAGGGCCCAGGGCCCCTCAAGACTACACCTACAGGGTATTTAAGGTTCATCCATAGACCTTCCATATGGTTTCTCTTCCCCTGAGATCTCCTGGGGATGCTTTGCTCATTAAATCTGCACTTTTAATTCAGCTTGAATTGGTATATTGCATTGGTGGGGTTACCCACTACCGGGGATGATTTTTCAAAACACTCATCACTGTGGTTCCTGGCTGAGCTAGGGTTGGGATGTTTCTTTCTTTGCTTTGGTATGGTTACAACAGTCCCAGGGGAGATCTGCTCGGAGTCTGTTATCTTAAGTTAAATATATGGTACAAAGATTCGGCTTGGCTTGGCTTGGCTTGAGATGGGGTTCCACAGTGTAGCTTTGTCTGGCCTAGAATGTACTATGCAGACCAGGCTAGTCTCAAACTCAGAAAGCTGTTTACCTCTGCCTCCTGCATGCTGGTCTGCTAGTCTTAAAGCAGAAGATGAAATGAGATGTATTTATTTATTGGGTGCTTCTTAGTACACTTTAAGAAGGGCTGTTCTTTAGGGTCATTTAGACTCTGCCGTAGCTTTTCTGTTGCCTTTGACCTTCCCCTCAGGAACTTGGAAGACTCACAGATATGCACAGGGAAGTCTGCTAATGCGTTCAAGAATACTGGTCGTATCTGCATACACAAGGAGTACTATTATTTTTGAAATTACATTTACTTATGCATATGGGTGCATGCATGTTTGGAGGTTGAAGAATAGCTTTTGGGAGTCAGTTCTCTCCACTATGCGGGTCCCATGGATCAAACTCAGGTCTTCAGGATTGGTGGCAATCACCTTCACTTGGTGAGCCATCTCGCCGGCCCAGAGAATTTTAAAATAAGCTGACTTAGACATGCACTTCCCCTCATGCTCGATTATTTATTGAGTACCAGTTAAAACGCTCCGTGATTCCAGATTAAAACTTTTTAATCATCTGTGAAATTCATAATTTAATGAAAAAAAAAAATCCCTGAAGACTTGCTAGTAGTTTGGGAGCTGGCAGAAGTGGCCTGTAAGTCTTCCCAGGGCTGCCAAGATAGCTCAGGTTAGGCTCCTGCCACCAGGCCTGACACTCAAATCCCAGCCCCAGAACTCACATGGTGGAAGCCAAGCCCCAACACTGGCAAGCTGTCCTTTGACCGCCACATGTGTGCCACGACACGTGCCCCCCCCAAATAAGTAAAAATTAAATATAATTTTATAAAGTGGCTTTGGGGGGGTGTTTTTGTTGTTGCTGCTTTGGGGATAGAATAAGTAGTAGCCCAGGCTGGCCTATGAACTCTGCATTCTCGTCAATCTACCTCTTGGTTCTGGGAACACAAGCATAGAATAATAATACTTAGATTATTTTTGTTATTGTTGTTGTTATTGTCAGTGGCGCTGGGAATTGAATCCAGTATGTATGCATGCTAGGCAAGCATTTCACAACCAGACATACCCCAGCACAAATGTTTGGGCTTTGTAAGCATTCTACCACTGAACTACATCGCCACCCCAAACTCTCTGGGTTTTTCTTTGTTGTTTTGAGACAAGGTCTCTTTAGGTAGCTTAGGCTAACCTGAGAATTGTTATAACCTAAGACAGCCTCTAGCTTATGATCCTCTTGCCTCTGCCTTTGGAGTGCTGGGACTGTAGGCACATACCACAATATTCCTCTCTCCATGAAGACTGCAAAAGAAAGCAGCTCAGGGTTAAAGTTAGGCCAGTGGTCACCGTTCTGGTGAGTCTTATGCTATCTAGACAGTTACAGTAGGGGTGCATACACTAACAAAAATCTTTAAGGAATTGTAAGCAAGTTCTGTATTTCTAGGCGTCACCCTCGACATCTGTTGTTACTGCTGTCCTGACCCAGTGTCCTGTGTTATTTTATGGTGGGAACCTACCTCATGACTGCCCACAAAGTCTCTGTCCTTTTGCTGAAAAGAATAGACCGAAAATGTGTTGGCTAGGACAGGAAGACGCAGCCTGAGGCTGTCTGGGCACCCCACGTGCTTACCTAATAGCAAACACCTGCCAACACGCAGCTCCGGAACATTGAGATTTCCAGAACGTGCCTGTGAAGCAGCGTCTTCTCTTAAGGGTATTAGGAGCGAGAAACATCAAACGTAAATTGAATGATCTTCATGGACACATGCTGCGTCCATGTTTTATGAATACAGCAGTTGTTCCAGAATTAAACTCGGGTAGGAGTGCAGTGAAGAGCCTTCACCATCACTAGATTTTGACCAGCAACCCCGGCCTTGGAAAGGGGTTCAGTCACAGCAGTTCCATGGGAGCAAAGTAGACCAGACCAAATTCAAAGGATAGTGAAGGATCTTTTACCCTCTTTCCTGAGGATAATTGGCCTGTTTCTGTGAGAGTCTAATTTACCCTCAGCAAGAGGCCAAATTGGCCTTAATTGTGTCCTAATTATTTGCCTAAACAGCTCATCTTTATTTCCAGTTTCCTATCACCTCTTGACATCTGGAGGAGGCTACTTCTGAGCTGCTAGTTCAGTTACAACATCTCTTAACCCTTTAGACATTCTGGTATAAAATAGCTCACTACTCTCACCTGATAGCATTTGACTCTCCATGAGTTAGTTCCCT